GGGGGGGGGGGGGGGAGCTAATTTTTTAAAAGGAACCCAAAAATTTTAAAAAGATACAATTTTTAAAAAGGGACCCAAAGGGAGAACCAAGATATTTTAGCCAATCAGATCAACATCTATTTGGAGCATATTGGTAGAAATGGCAATTAAAAGAAAATTAAGTAAGCACGTAGAAGCACAAACCTTGTTGAAGGAAAGTCAGCTTGATTCTGCAAAAGTAAATCCTGCCCTGCCAATTTCCTATTTTTTTGAGAGTGTCAGCTGGCACATGGATGGAGGAGATCCATTTGACCTTTTAGACTTGGATTTTCCAGAAGATATTCATTAAGTTCTTCCTCATAGGATCTTGAGTAAACTTAATAGTTGTGGGATGAGAGAAGTTGTCCTTCTATGGATTGCTATCTGGTTAAAAATAGAAAGCAAAGAATAAATGGGCAATTTTCTTATTGGAGCGAAATATGAAGTAAATTGCCTGAAAGCTCTCTGCTTGGACCAGTGCTTTTTAATTTGTTCATACTTGCTCTTGATTTAGGGATAAGCAGCAAGCTTGGAATTATTGTGGATAGTAGTGTGAAGGTGGTGATGAAGTATGCGGCAGCTGTGAAAAGCCACTTTTGTGTTGACAATCATTAGGAAAGGGATTGAAAATAAAAGTGCTAACTCTGTAATGCCCTTGTAGAGGTTTAAGATGGTGCATTTGGAATACTGCATTTGGTTCTGGTTACCACATTTGAAAAAGAATATAGTAAAACTGAAGAAGAACACCTCAAATGATCAGAGGATTGAAACACCTTGTAAGAAAAGGCTAGAACGTCTGCCATTTTTTAGCTTAGAAAATGACAACGGAGAAGAGGTATAGTTGAGATATATAAAGTCATGCATGGCATTGAGATAGTGGAGAGGGAGAAATTTTTCTTCCTCTCTAAAAACCAAAGGACCAGGGATCCTTTGATGGGAAGGCATTTTAAAGTAGACAAAAGAAAGCCCATCTTATTATTAACCTGTGGAATGTATTACTATAAGATGTGGAGATGGTTGCTAATTTGGATGGCTTTGAAATGAGGGTGGATAAATTCATGGAAGACTGGTCAATCTAGAGTTTTAATCTTTAGACTCAATGTTTTCTTGAGGTTGGGGACAGCATGTTAGGAGAAAGATACGTATCAGTCTCCTGCTTCAGCACACCAGAAGCATCTGGTTGGCTATTGTGAAAAACAAAGTGTTGGACTGGCCTTACCCTGTCCAGCAGAGCTATTCTGTGTTTTATGTCTCCCCTCATTTTATCCTCACAAAAACAACCATATGAGGTAGGCTGGAGACAGAATGACTTGCTCAAAGATACCTAGAGAACTTTGTGGGTAAGTGGGGACTTGATGTGGGTCTCCTTAGAGCAAGCTCAACACCAACACCTTAACCACTATGCCACACGCCATTTTTTGAAGTGGCAAATGCTGACACTTAGATCAACAAATAGATATTCTAGGTGACTTGAAATGTTCTTATTGTTCCTTTTTTTTTTTTTTTTTACAATATGTCATCTCTTTTTAAAATTTGGTATAGAGACTCACAGCAATGGTTAATGGAACTGCTCTGTTGATTTCTACTCAGAAGGGTAAAGTTAATTGAATTCAGTGGGATTATGCTCAAGGAAGTGTGTGTAGGAGTGCAGCGTCTGTGATCCTGTATATCAGCTTTCCCCCTACCAGATGCTGTCTGTGGTGAACAAAAGCTTCCACAATCACCCAACCAACATGGACAAGAAAACTGCCTGGATGTAGTCAACCAGGAGTCAAACTTGACTTGAGGGGGTATTTACTATTTAAGGGCAAAATGTTTATGCTACCAATTTATTTTCTAAAACCTCTGAAACTTTTCCATAGCAACCTCACTTTTGAAACATAGCCTTTGGTGTGCCATACAGAGCCTGATGTGGCCCTTGCCCTGGCACAATTGTGCTTACTTCATACTTGAAAGAGGTATTTACGAAAACCTAGAAATACGATATTGCAGTGGGAATAGGTGAATCAAGATTGTGTTTTTCTGGGAAGCAAATCTAAAAATTAGTATAGCCACTTGGTGGGGTTGGGTGGGCTAATCCTGATAGTTCCTCCTTGCATGTGCCATTGGAATAATAGATGGTGTATCCTGGACTAGATTTTTTATCCCAGGAAACCAGATCATTGCTGGGTTGCCTGCAATCCATGATTTGAATGGCGTCTCTCCTGAGATTAGGGGTTGCCTCACCTTCAGTGGTGTTCTGATACCCACCTCCTGAGCAGAACGTAGGAGGAGAACTTGTTAAGACATAGAGTTGTTGGTGGAGGCAAATGACTTTTGGGAAGGGAAGCGTTGAAAAGCCAACTTAGTCACAGCTGCCCTTCTGAGCCTTTTGGTTAGAACAATTTTTTAAATCTTTCCTCCCCCCCCCCTCCAGCCCCCCGTTTACATCCCTGGCTTCCTTAAGACCCTGCCAGTGATGGACAGTGCGCAACAAAACAGTAGCGTGCCTCTAAACACTGGTTGTCAGGGATACCTGCGTCTGCCTGGAGCACACAGGAAATTAAAACCACCCCTGATAGCATATCGCGGCTGGCCTAAAGGGCAGTTCATCGGTATATGTGCCTGTGTTCATAATGGGGATGGACGTATCTCAGAGGAAGCTAGAAGAGGGAAAGTGGCTGGCACAGATGTTGAGTTTTTATATTAGCTTTTTGGTTACCTGAAGATGAGAAGGAAGCTTTTGATGACATCAAATCCTTTGTCTTTATTCAGATTGGCTTTTTAAAAAATATCTAAGAAGTGTGTAAGAAACATAACATGAGATTAAAGCTGCACCTTTATTTATAACTTCCTTTCTATTCCCTTTTCTTTTTCATCCCAACTGCTTTGGATAAATAAACTGGTAACATTCCAAGTCCCAGGGAATATTTTATATTATGGCTACCGTATTAACTAGTTTTCCAGGTTGCTTTTGTATCTGTTTGTTTTCACAATAATCTTGTGAGATAGGCTATGATAGTTCAAATTTTACAAGAGGAGAATGGAGATAGAGATGCATTACATTATGCCCAATAAGATCCTAGTGAAGTTGAGACCCAAACTTGAAGATCCATGTCTTAAATCTGGGTTCATGTATTATACTAAGCCATTATGCTATTAGTTTAGACCAAATGAGTTTTATATGACCTCAGTCATTGTAACTTAACCTTAATTTGTGGTTTAACTATGGCTTTCTTGTACATGGTTTGACTAACTCTTGGGCCAGTTTGGCTATTATAAATTAAGTCTAGATACTTTAGAATTCAGGAAGGAAAGCTGCAAGTTGAAAGGGTAAATCCTGTGCCAGTTAGAAAAATATCTATGCCACAGAAGTATCAATGCATAGAATATGTACCATCATAACATTTTGCCCAGTTTAAAGATATTTATATCTTAAACACCCCCACCCCCTACATTCTCTCTCTCTCTCTCTCATACACACACACACACACACACACACACAGAGTACAGTATATATATGGCATAAGGTTTAGCTATTTCATTAGACGCATACAGTGGTTCTTAAAGTTTGTGAACCCTTTTGAATTATCAGTATTTCTGCATAAATATGACCTAAAACATGATCTGTTCTCCACACAAGTCCTGAAACTAGATAAAGAGAACCCAATAACAAGAAAACAGTGGGAGAACATTTAAACTGCCCAGGATACTGATGTTCAAGTGTCATTGTGAACAAAGGAACTTCAAAGCAGCTTTAAGCAGCTGACGAGGGTAAAGATGTCTAAGGATCGCTCCAAAACTGCTTGGAGAATGTCTGTCTCAGTAATGTAACTAGCGTTGTAATTTGGAAGGCCACCCCACATGGGTTACCCTTGGCTCCAATATTATATTGGTTTTGATGCTAAGCTTAAATCTCTGTTTGCTGAGGTACTGTAAATAGTTGTGTCAATTTGCCAGGTGACTAATTGTTCCTGTCTGGATGATGACTTTGTGCTTTATATTTTTAATTTTGTAGATTTCTCACTTTAATGTTTACCTCTTTGAGATTCATTTTTTGGATAATGGTGTAGCTTATACATTCAAATAAAATAATGTAGAAGGAAAGTTACAGGTAATGTAATAGTTACTTTGTATATGCCTGTCTTGGTTTCAGATGTACTCAATGATGCCATATTTGATGAAGACCACGATGAGATGGTGATCGTGAAGGATATAGATATGTTTTCATTGTGTGAACATCACCTGGTTCCATTTGTTGGAAAGGTAAACTTTAATTTCTTTTTCTCTGCTGTAAAGTAGAATCAATAGGCCAGTCATTCTTAAGTGCTTGATTTGTGAAACTATTTGGGATGAATTTTGCAAATTATCAGAAGTGTTTTTAAGGGCAATATATCTCTGCATATAGAGCAACCATGGGCAGAGGTTAGGGCCATCAAGCAAGGTATAATATGCAAGGGGGGCAAGAGAAAATGCAAGGTGCTGTTTCAAACGGCAGCTTTTGGGGAGTCATGAATAGGCAACCGAGTCCATTATTTAATTTCTTGCTATTCAGTTTTTTTATATATTTCGAAAAGTGGGGAGAGGTATTCATGGCATTTAGTGCCTCATGTCTCCAAATACCTTGACCGGTTGTCAAAGCTCTGCACCTTGACTTAGTGACGTCAAAGGATTATTTACTACTCTACTCAGGCAGCAAAATGTTTCAAGATGACCACATGTATACCATCCAGTTTAATATATTGAGAGTCCAGTTACGGATAAGCATGGATGTGTAATGCTACTTTCCCCTGTCTATTTACTATGTGTGGGTTTTTGTGGAATAAGTGCAGATTGGGTGTTCCGTGCATTGGTCATTTTGACTGTATCCTGTGACTCAAAGAAGAGGGAGGCACAGCTGTTGGGAGAAGGGTGAATGGATTAGTTAAAAAATTGATGTCACTTTGTTTGCTTCTCTGGAACAGTCATTTTATAGGTCATTACTCAGTGCTAATAGGAACGCTCATATTTGCTTTATCTCAATTTCGGCTCTTCTCATTCAACTTCACATTTAACTGCCTGCCTGTCTGCCTGTTCAGTGTAAGTGGGAAGATTTAGCAGTGCTGAGTTTCTTTTGTTCCTTCAACAAATAAAACTAAAGTAGAATTCAGTGCTGGGAGAATCACATTATGCTGCTGCAATAAATAATGAGAATTGCAATCATGTGTATTTACTTTCTTAATAAAGAAGAGCAGCCGTGTTGGCCGTGAGAAAAAAATAATCCTAAACCCATAGGAACAATACTTTTATTAAGCTGACTGAAATGGGAGTGAGAGCTGTGTATGGCAGGAATAACTTAAAATGGATGGATGGATTTCTTTATTTTTCAAATTTTGGCTTGCATGCTTCTGGCAAAGCCAGCCCATAGTCACTTACAATTTTAATTTGGCAATAATACTTTCAGTTAAAATAAACAAACATATGAATCATGTAGCAAAATAAATATGTTACAATAAAACTTTACATCATGATATTACAGCAGCCATTAGTACGCGACATAATGTGTGCTTAAGCAAGGAGATGCCAGCTTATGAAAATAAGTTTTCAAGTTATATTTAAAAGTGATCAGAGAGTGTGAAGACTGTAATCAGTGGGGAGAGAATTCCATAGCACTGGGGCTGAATCAGGGCTTGGTCTTAGATGATTCCAGCTGACACTTAGTTGAGGAGCAAACTCCCAGTTAGTGATAATCAGAAAGGTTAAAACAAGCATTTTGAAGCTGAGCCAGAATGATTTTATGTACTTCCAGGGAGAGACACTCCATAGAAGCCAGGCCACCAGGCAAGGCGTCATGATATTGAAATGATGAAATGTGTTCAATGATGCCATTGTGCAAACGCTAACCTTACGTACTTGTGTCCTGACAACTGATGCAAGTATTTTATTTATTTATTTGATGATATAAGTTCCAGCATTTCCATGGAATCATTATGCATGTCTTGTCATTTGCTTCCTGATCCCACCCACCTCGCTCCATTGATGCTTATGACGGCCACTGCCCTCTGGCCCCACTGTAACTTCCAAGTTTCCTCCAAAAGCATTATCCACACAAAAGGGCATTACAATACTGTAATCTATTCAGGAGGTAACCAGAGCAGGCATCACAGAGGCCTATCCAAGTGATGTGTGTGTGTGTGTGGGGCTGGTAAATTAAATGCCCCTTACCACCACACTTAGCTGAGCACTCAAGAGGGAATGTAGGGTTGATAAGCACCCAATTGTGTGCCTGGTCTTTAAGGGGGGCAGGCAAAACCCCCATCCAGGGCAAGCAAAAATCCTTCTGATCAGCCATCACCAACCCCGACCAGCAATCCTTGGAAATTAAGTTGAATGCAGTAGGAGTGGCTGAGTTAAGAGTTGTGCTTTGTAGCAAAACAAGAAGAGATACTGCCGTAAATGAATAGGTATTGAATACAAAAGTGAGTGGAGTACAAAAATACGTTGAGCGAATTTGGTCACAAAACAAATATATGAAAGAAATGTGAATGAGCTGAGAGGAAGGGAAAGATTGAAAAAGTTGTGGTTGGATGGTGTTGATGAGATCCTGAATAAGAGAGAAGTGAGAAATGTAAAGAACAAAAGGCCATACAGGTAGTCCTCGCTTAATGATAGTAATTGGGACCAGCAATTCTGTCGCTAAGCGACATGGTTGTAAAGCGCGATGTCATGTGACTGCACTGACTTACAGCAGCAGTTGCGGCAGTCCCAGTTGCTATCGTTAGGCAAATCCTGTGAGTACTGTAACTTCAAATGGTTGCTGAATGAGGACTACCTGTATATGTATGTGGATATGGAGTATGATGGAAACAAAGAGGCTAGAGGTATGAGGAGGTATCGTGAACAATGCTGCTATAAATTAGATTTCCTTTCCTCTTTTCTTCTTGCTTTAGCTTCTTTTTCTTACTACTTAGACTTTTTGTGTGTGTGATTTGCATAATGTTGCTTATCCCTAAAAGTATTAGATGGGTATATGTTTATATATGTATATAAGAAATGTTGATGAATGTAAGCTTTAGAATTTCAATTATTCTTCATCAGAGAAGTTAGCTAGAAAAAAAAGAAAGGGGGAAGGAAAGATGTAGCTGATGTCAGACTCAAGTCTGTACCTGATTACATTGTTAGAAGGGGGTCCCTTCAGACATGCAAACTGAATCTGATCTAGTACAGAGTTGTTATGTCACGTCACGTCACGTCATGTCTTGGGCTGTCCCCAAATTTCCTGGAAAGAAGAAACACCAAGTAAGCGTATTGCTTCTATGCATTTTGGATATATTGATGTGTTCATTTTGATTTAATTCAGGTTTGCAAAGGTTGAAAGATTCAGGTTTACAAAGACCTGGAGTTTCAGGAAGTTGACAAAAAGAAATAAGGGTGGACTGAAATCAGAGAGTCCAACTTGCTTGTTGTACTCTGTAGGCTTTTAGTGAATGAGTGGGATGGTGTAGTAGTGTGGTGGGGTCAAAGGCTTTCTAACATCCATAGCAAATCTTCCAAGCACAATTTCCACCTTTCTTTAGTAATAGCCCTGTCAGTCTCCTTCTTGGAAATCTGCTTCGATCTCCCTGCACTAGCCTGGATTTTTGTCCTAATAGTTTCTGACATTTCATTTCAGAGCCCTTTGTGATGTGCCCCTGGTGGCATACCTTGGGGGCAGACGTCTCTATATTAAATCTGATCATCACAGACATAAGCTTTGGCTTCTTCCAGGTCACGAGAGACCCATTTGAAAACGCCCTTGGCCTATTGCAGCACAGTGAGAACAATTGCCTACCTGCCTTTACTTTCTTCTTTTCCCCTCTCCATTCCTTTCAAAGGGGAATCTTTTCAAATCCATGCAGCCTAGCTAGGCAAAATTCTGAATGCTGACACTGTGTGATCGAATTGACTCAGAGTCCCTTCTCCATTTGTTACTAAAAATATGAATTAAAAAGTATTGTAGCTTTAAACCAGGGCAAGCTAGCTGTTGGATGGTCAAAGGCCACCCTGGGTAGAACAGTGATGGCCCAGGCCCGTGGATAGGATCAGCTTTTTGGAGGGGAGTTTTGGAGATTGTCTTTGATTTTAAAAATTATGTTTGGCTTATTTTATGGGTTTCTCTATCGTTTTGATCGATTTCCCACCTTAAAAATGGCAGGAAACCATGTCTCGCTTCTTGGTAATTGTACTCACAAAGGATTTCAGCAGGTGGTAGCATCTGTCCTGACTTTGCCCCAGCTCAAAAGCTAAACAGGGTTGGGACTAGTTAATATTTGGAAGGGAGATTACTGGGGAATTCCAGGTCTGGAGGCTAGAGGGAGAAATGGGAAAAAACATCCTAGAAGAAGACAAACTGTATAATTGTATAACTATAATCTGTATAATTGCCAGTTACAACTGCATAGGTGTGTCCATCTAGGAACCAGGAGTCAAGCTCAAAAGTTAGAGAGTGAGAAAGCTTTGAAGGCTGGAGAAAAAAATGATCTTGAGGACCACATGACCCAAGACCTCAAGACTTCATTCATCACTGACTTGAACTGATGTTGCCCTTTTGCTGTTGCCTTTTCATTTTCTATAAGATCTTTAATGCATACTCTTCTCCCCCAGTTTTTCTCTGTAGAGAAAATTAAATGCCACGAATCACTTGTTTTCCCTCTTAAATAAAAACAACAACAACAAGAAATATTTGTGAACATGTTAAATGAAGCATATAATGTGGAAAATACAGATTGGTCACTTTCTGGTATGTTGTGCCATTATCACTCAGTAACAGGCAGATATTCCACAGGCATGGCTTACCCTGGGAAGGAAAAAGTGCTGGGACAGCTTGTTAAATTTCAGACTTTGGATTTAATGATCTTGAGAGCCAGTAGTGTCTATAGATACTAATATATGTTATTACTTCTTAATTGTCTTACTGTGCCTCCCCTTATTGGATGGTCATGTTTTTAGGAAGAAAAAAAATTGGGATAAGCCAGTTCTGGTGTGTTGCTCTTGTCCTGCTGAGATCTTTGCCTTAAAGTCCTAATTCTTTAGTGCTAGACTTAGCACCTTGTTGTTCATGTCTTGTCACACAGTCTGCTCTTTCCAGAAAGTTAAATGCTCCTGGTATTGCTCCAAAGAATGTCTTATGACAGACTAGACCAACCTTCTCTTTTCCACACCATCTCCCAAGTAACTTTGATTTCTTGGAATCTTCTTTCTTTTTTCTAGGATGGCAAAGGCAGTCTCACTTGCAGTCAGCTTAAAAGAGATACACATAAGGAACTTATAGGCACAGATTTCTAATCAATGACTTTCCTTGTGCCAAGTCACAATGGCTCAACAGAGTGTCTTCTGGCATATTTGGGTTGGGAAGATCATTCTCTCAGTTTGTGCTGGAACTTCCTTTCATGTTTTCTCCGTCTTAGGATCCATTCCTGACTGTAATAATTAAACAGCCTCATCCTCTAATCTACTGTATGGGCCATTAGACTTTGAAGTCTGGGAAGAAAGTTCCATCCTGCTTTAAAGTGAAAGATCCTTCTCCCATATTTTTCTGATGCTCCAAGAAGTCAGAGGAGGGATGGACCATTTGAAGTTGCTCAGGCCTTAACCCAGAAAAGTAATTCAAGATGGCCTTTGGCTGCAAGTTGGTAACCATGCTGGAAAAATTCTGGTACCTGTTTTAGAACCTATGGAAAAAACGTGGCTGTGTTCCTTACATTCTTTAAATTGAATGGCCCCAAAACTGAGCTCTGAAACATGCTCCCTTCATTTTTCCTCCCTCATTAGTCTATGGTATAACAATCCCCTGTAAGATACTTCTCTACAGAGAAAGTACATTATGTGGCTTTTCCAAATATATTTTGATTTGGTTTTTAATTTCCAGCTAATTAGAGATGTCTTGTCCTTTTTTTGCTAAACCAGCTAATGGCTCCTAATGGCTAAACCAGCACTAATGGAGTGCTAGACAGTGATTTTATCTTGGTGCCCTTTAGTTGGGACTTCAATTCCCAAATTCCTTAGCAATTCTGGGAGTCCAGACCCTAGACATATGAAGGGCCACAGATTGGAGAAGGGTGTCATGGTCTGAGATTAATCCTTTCATCATCATTTTTCCCTTCCTAGCAAAGAGGCGATAGAAATTCAATAAGCTAATGAATGTAATCAGGATTCTAGTTTTATTCTTCTGCCAAATAGATCAACGTTGTTATATTCTTTACTGGGTAGAATGGGAAACATACACCAAACCCAAATGTCTTCAGAAATGTTGGGCTATAATTCCCATTATTGATGAGAAGCACAGACAATGGGAGTTGGTCTATCAAACTTGCAGGGCATTGGATATGGGAAAATTAGAGCAATATGACATTTTGTGCCTGACTTAAAACCAGCAAAAATTGCTCTATACAAACAATGGAAATGAATCATTTTGTACCTTCTTACATTGGCCACCAATGTATTATACCAAATCAATATGACTTAATTAGAGTGAGTCCAACCATATAGGCAGTCTGAGCAGCTGCTTAGGCAGTGAAATTCCTGGGGTGTTGATTGTGGCAGTAGAGATCCATGAATCCTTGTTCTTATATACGACCAGTGCTCTGGGCAAACTGAGTTGTCTCTGAAATCCTTTGCAGTCTAGTCAGGTGGGGGAATCATTAGCCTTCCCCAAAGCCAATAGTGAGCATCATTTGTTATCCAGGACTGCAGGACTAATGTCTCAAGGCCTACATCATATGGTAATGGTAATGGTAGATGGGGCAGAAATGAATAATATTAGGGCCACAGCCAAAAATGGATAAGGTCACCCATTCTCTGCTTTTTGGCACATTCTTCTTTCTCTCTTATTTAAGACATCTTAAGGTCAAAATAAGACCTTTTGTCTTGGTTGCTGAGGAATGCAACCAATTGCTCTTGTTGGAAGTCTAAACTGAGGCCAAAGACTGCAGGTAGTCGTAAGGTCAGAAGTTACCTGCTTCTTCCTTCAGCCATCGCTGTGCTTCATTTATTGTTTCTGAGATTGATTGTCTCCTGCATTGCCCATCTCTGCATCCTGTCTTTATCAGTCTTGCAAACATGTCCATAAATGTAGTGAACTATTAATGAAAACATTTGTTTCTAGACTGCCAGCTCAGATGCACCTCATTTAGTCATGTGATAGGAGGTGTATAGTAATGTATCCCACTTATGCTTGGTGTGGCAAATTTTCAACAGATTGATCTCAAGTTAGGAAATTTTTCCATACTCACTGTTATCTATAGGACTTATGTAGCCATTCTTAGACTTTTCAGTAAGCTTAATATTTGAAAGATTTCTGATTGCTTCTTCTGTTCTTTACAGGAAAGAAAGAAAAAAATGGGAAGTGAGTTCACAAGCATGTTGGATTTCTCTTTATCCTTGACCTTTTAAGACTTATGCAACTGCATGCCTGTTTGCTCCACTCACAGATTTTTTAAAAAACCACTTTCTGGGTCATGTGTGACATGGCATGGGTGCACATGCATGAATCTCTCAAGTCAAAAAGTCCTGAGTTTTGTTTAATGACTTGTTCTTCTTCTGCCTAGGTGCATATAGGTTACCTTCCCAACAAACAAGTCCTTGGGCTCAGCAAGCTTGCAAGGTAAGAACAAGTAATTAAAGTAATGTAAGTTATTTAACTGCAGGTAACCAATGTAAAACTAGTATGGTGTGGTTAAAAGCACTGGACTAGAAAGCAGGACATTGTGAGTTCTAGTCCTGTCTTAGGCACAAAGCCAGCTGGATGACTTTCTTTCAGCCCTAAGACAAAGGTAGTGGCAACAGCAATTCACTTCCAAAAATGTTGCTGAGAAAAGTGCATGAACTTCTCCATATAGTCACCAGGAGTCAAGACTGACTTGAAGGAGTTATGGATATAGATATAGATGTGGATATAGAGTAATGGAAATAACTCCCAGATTCAACTGGATGCAGAATGTTGAGCAACTTAATGCAGTTGTTCTTTAGGTTTCAGTAAGCCATACAAATGTCTACAAGATTCCTTGTAGACATTTTGAGTGCAGAAAATGTGGGGGAAATTATAATAGTTGACTTTTTTTTAGCTTGGGGGAAAGCAGCAGTGATAATATACAGATTATGCAAAGAAGCTCAGTGGTACTGCTGTATCACTTATAGCCATGGTTGACATGTTTTAATACATGTTAAATATTGTGACTGTAGATGATTGCCAATAAAAAGTTGCAATTCTCTCTTCTCACCAGAAGAGAGGGGAAAGGCATAATGTAGAGAGAGTGAGAAGGGCTGATGTTTTGAACCATCAGTGGCAGAAGGTGGTTGACAGAGATGCTAAAAAGAAATCAGATTGGGCTCTGGGGAACTGAAGAGCTGTGGCTAAGTAGCTGTTGTATTTCTGATCGTGTGGGGGTTTCAGATTTCATCTCTGTTAGAATTGTTCATTGAGGGCTAGTACCTGTAAGGGCCACACATGGGAGAGCTCAACCCTCAAGTCAGACTCTCAAGCCTGATAATAAAGTACAATAGGATACATTGCTGTTTTACCCTAGAGAGGAAGAATCCCCTCCCCTCCCCTCCCACTACAGATAGAAGCTTAAGGAGAAAAGAACTGCTCCCCCGGGTAGAAAATCCTGGGTTGGCACCTAGCTGAGGAAGAAGCAGCTGAGCGGCCAGTAACTAAGAAGAAATGTTGCCGCTGTGGGATTGAGTTGGAGGAGTTCCACTCCCCCCTACAATTGTACTGTACATTTTAAAAGTATAAAATACATTCTAATGTTATTTACCACCTGGAGATGTGTAGTAAGACCAGTGTATATTTTACGGAAATAATAAAATGAGAAAATGGCTAAATATTAGTTCCAGTACTGAAAGGAATGTATTTTGCAACATCGTTGTCAGGAATACGAGAAGTAAAGGTGTTTCTGCCTTTGAATGCTGCTTGTGGGCTTTCTCTCCACATTTGGTTGTTAACTGTGAGAATAGTACCCTTTCATTTGAAGCAGCATGGCCTTCTTTATGTTAAGGGTCCAAAAAGGTGTCTGGAACCACACGCAGCCCATCAGCATGCCTTTTGTGACTCCCAGAGCCCTCAGGAGTTATTGAGGCCAGGTGGCTTGTGACATCTATGCCATCCTTTAAAACCCCAAAACTCCCTCCCAAAATGGGTCTTGGTTCCACCTAATTTTGCAGTATGGCCCTCAGTATGCTATACAACACCCAATGTGTTCTCAAGCCAATGGAATATTCTGATCTACTTACCTACCTACCTACCTGCATAACCCATGCCGCTAAACAGAAATTATCTGGGTAATAATAATTAAAGAGTTTGGTGTGGTGGTTAAACTGGGAGACTGTGAGTTCTAGTTCTGCTTTACACATGAAAGTCAACTGGGTGACTCTGGGCCAATCACTCTCTCTCAGTCCTAGAAGAAGGCAACGGCAAACCACTTCTGAAAATGTCAAGAAAACTGCATGGATTTGTCCATGTGGCTGCTAGGAGTCAAGACCAACTTGAAGGCTATACATATAATATAACCATTACCATGATCAGAGAGGGATCACATTTGAGGTACTAGAGCTTTGCTAGTCTTTATGAAATTCCTTGGGAGATGACTTGTTTAAGGCCTTGGAAATGGTAGAGATAGAAGTTTAACCTGTGTGTCCCAGATTGGGTTTAACTTTGTCTAGGGTAAACAGCTCCATCTGTATTGGTCCAGATATCTAAAATGGAGCTAAATTGACCATGCTTTCTTCCCCCTCTTTAGGTCAAGCTAAATAGCTCATGATTAACTCAAGGAGGAAGAGTTGTAGTGAGAAACATCCTACATGGTTGGTTATCAGTTTAGGAAAATAAGAAACTACCTTATGCCATTTCATACCATTGATCTATGTAGTCCAGTATTGTCAACATTGTATTGCAGAAATTCTCTAGCATTTCAGAGATGGTTTTATCTCCTCTGTTCAGACTTGGGGATTACTTATAAAAATAGTTGGACAGGTTTAAGATGGGAGTAAAAATAGTTCTTATAGAAGAATACAAGATAATTTTTCTCAGCATCTGGATGAGAAGCCGGAAAGCCATTTTTGAAACACTAAATCCTCCATTCACAGTTTGGTCTGATAAACTTTGTTTTCTCTCTACAATGACCTTCTGTTTTAATCATCTCAGTTAAATTTGACCTTACGTGTTTCATGGTATCCTGCAGGGATCAAGAACTTTATATGAGTATAAGCGGTTATGATTCACTTTTTTGGAAGTATTTATCTGTCTCATAAATACCATATAGCTTGGAGGCAAAACCACATTTTAATCAGAACATTGGGCATTTTATTGGAAAGTTAACTTTCCTACAGTACTTAACTACAAGACCTATTTTCTTCTCATAACTACAACCCTCTGAGTAGGTTGGGTTGAGAGAAAGTGACTGGTTCAAGGTCACACAATGAGGTTTTGTGGCTGAGGATGAACTAGGACGGGGTCTCCTTGCTCCTAGTGCAACACCTTAACCACAACACCACACTGGTGCATGGCTTAGAGACAAGATAGGCTGCAGTTCCACCACTATGGAGTGAGCAGATTGTGAGCAGATTACTATAGAGTGAGCAGATCTAAGTGGGTGATCAAGGAAGGAATAAGAACCCATTTGCTAGGGTTGCAGGAAATTTGGCAAGAGATTTTGTAGTTTCTTTTTGATGGTTGTCCATCTCCCATCTCCTCTGATAAGATACAGGCTTCCACAGAAGAAAAAGGAGCAGATTTAAGGACAATCTCAGATTCCCTTCTCCCCCTACATAGAAAGGCCATTTCTAATTGATCTTATTTTTCCCCTACCCCTGCACACAATTGCTATGCATTAATAAGAAAAACAGAGGTCCCATTATGACTCATAATCCCATCTATTTTGACCCTGAATTGCTGTTCCAGTCAGATTCCTTGAAGGTGGCAGCCTTTTTCTATTGGATAACAAGCTTCTGGCCAGTATAGATGCTGTCAAAAGCAAATGCTCAGTGGAATGCAGTGTACAGAGCTGCAAACTTTAAACTGGTTTTGTTTAAGCTGAGTTAAAGTCCATGTGTCCACACTTCACTACACTGCTAGATACTGTGCTTAGCCCAGCAAACTGAAAACAAAACTAGGTAAGAACCTGGTAAATCTATCATTGAGTGTGTGTATATGGGCCATGCCCACAATTTTAAGCAACTGGGGATGATGTGATGGAGGAAGTGACACTAGGGGAGGTAATATTAACTTTCCCCAGCAGTATTTCTCCTAGCTGAAATTCTCTCTTTTTGCCCCATACGGAAAAACATTTAGGCACCATTGAGATGCAAGGCAAGTAATGGCTTTGAGGATGGTAGAGAAGTTTGGCTGGGAAACCTCTGTTAAGAGAGTGTTAAATATTCCCTTTTTCAGCCCTCATCCCCTGGCCATTCTACCATTCCCCTCCCGTTACTTTAACTTTAACCTAAATATTCTATTATTAGATTGAACTAAGAGTTGGAAGGAGAGAATATATAAAACCCTAAGTAAAAGGATGGGTTTGCACAACACTCTAGGTTAGGTTAAAATGAGGTCAGGGAGTTTGTGGCCCCCCGGGGGACTATAGCCATTGTCACAGCATGTTGAGTAAACCAGACTAGCAAGCTGAACCATAACATGGTTTGTCTGGCAATAATATGCTATATGATTACAGGAGTTGTGTTTTATTACCCCAGATTTAGGATTTAGGATGTTGTGTGAAACCTATCACTGGTGTGGTAATTGTGAAATAGGCTGAAAGTGCACTGGATTTACATGTGTACTCTGCAGCTCATGTAGGCCAGCAGTGTGCTTCCATCCTGGACTTTGTCTTCTCCTCTTGCACAGAGTAGCCAAGGGAAGAGAGCACACAGGGAACTGGACAGGCTCTTAGCAGGAACCAATCTGCTGAACCAGTGTTCCTCAGGCTTGGCAGTTTGAAGATGTATGGACTTCAACTCCCAGAATTCCCCAGCCGGCATGCCAAGCCTGAGGAACACTGCTAAACCTAGATAGCTTCTGTATGCCCCTGAATCCTGCTCTTTGACTGAGGAAATGGGAGCGAAAAGAGCAAAATGATGCTAGGGGTGGGAAGATGAGCAGCAAATTGTACCATGCCTTTATAGGTTTATTTTTGGAATGGTGGAGGTTTATTTTTATTCATTTATTTCTCTATCAAATTTGCATGCCACCAATTTTATTTTTACTCAGGGCTGCCCCATCCTCAGAATGAAATTGTAGAGCTCACAAAAGCTCGTGAAAGGGCCTGGAGCAACTCCTCTCTGAGGGAATATGAGTTTGTTGAGTGGTTTTAAAGCTTCAAGCAAACTGAAGTGTTATTGCACAATAAAATAACAATAATAATGGATTAGATTTATATGCCGCCTGACTCCCAGTGACTCTGCGTGGTTTACAAATTGTTAAAAATTTAGAGGCATATGCAGTTGCATATGGAGTAAAGAAAAGGGATATATGGAGAAAACTATGTTGTCAGGCGAAGAAATTTCCAGTTTTTTTCTACCAGTTGCTTTTGAAATCAGCTTTGGAAATTCTTTCAAAGCAAAGAGGATTTTGGAGAAATTGTTAGAGAATACACTGTTCTTGCATTA